TTATCGTCGCGGCAGTCATACTCCTACGTATTATTACATTATACATGTATAATATACGCTTATATATTGCACACACACACACACACACACACACACACACACACACACAACCGCATTATATAAATAAATATTTCCGCGTCAATCGTCGTCGTCAAGCTGACCGTCGCGGTCGCCGTCGTCCTCGTGGCCGTTTCCCCGCGGTCCGGACGCGAAACTCATTTCCCATGCGATCCGCGCTTGTCACTTTCAGGCTACGTGATGCTGCACAACCGTCCGGGAGAGAATTCTTCCCACCGCGGCCGGTCACTTATCCTCTGCCCCCGCCCGTATCCCTACCGGCGTCGTCTCGGACACCGTCGTCGCCGTATGTAGTACGCGTATTAAAATACGGTTTCCGAGTGATGGACTGTGTGGTGGAGGGGTGGGGGAGGATCTGAGGCCGGACCGCGGGACACGTATAAAAAATACAAAACACGTGGGCACTAGGTGGCGATTCGGGACGATTCGTATGTATGACGTTTCGTGTATAGGATTGCCGGAGCCAAAGAGAAGCCCCTACCCTCCCCAATCCCGAGCACTCCGTGATTTATGTTGCGCGCCGGGTAGCGTTTCAAGCAATAATTGCAACGCGTCGTTTGAATCCGCGTGGATTTCGCCGTCGTTTTTCAAAACTTTCCCCCCCCCCCTCAGAAAACCGTTTTCGGGAATCCGGAAAGACGTTTCGAAAATAAACTGCAACCACCTATACTAAATTATAATGTATCCGGTTAACGTGCGGCGAGAAAGTTTCGGAGCCGTTTTTACATTATAACCGACAAAAGTGGTCGGTATAATAATGTACGGAAAAAACTTAAAAAAAAAAAAAACACACGCGCCCGCGAATAGTGTAATAGGTGTGTAAAAATCCGATACATTCCTCGGGTCTCGACGCGGGAAATTCTAGAAAGAAAGAAAGAAAAAAAAATAGTGAAAAAAATCCGACCGGAAACGCGGTAGTCGTCTTTGTGCAGTCGCACCGCCGCCGACGGATCCCCGTGAGCTGTGGGCGAGCGGGCGGAGGGGGTTCGTATATTTTCATATATAAGTCCCGCGGCGGAGGGACGGGAGAGGAGAGGCGCGTGGAGGTACTCTCGCTGTTTAACGTGCTTTCACGCACACATGATTTACACTCCAGTTTTTTTTTTTTTTTTTACATCTCCTCGCCGCATCTGCAACGTGCGTAAAGCTTAAAGCATTTTTTTTTTATTTCAGGAAAAAATAGTCTTTAAAACGCGTCGGTAGTTTTTTTCCTAGCCCGCACATACAACTCTACGTCATGCACGCGGCGGCGGCCGTACGTACGCTGCGGCTACAAGCGAGTAGGGGTATTTTTTTATTTTTTTTATTTTAACTTTTCTCTCCGTTTACACGCGCACTCGCGCACACACACACACACACACACACACAGCGGACGCTATAAACGAGTATTGAACAAACGCACACACCGGTGTGTATTGTACACACCGGGTACGTACACACGCACACATGCACCCGTACAACGCGGCGAACACGACTACAATGACGACCGCGACGGATACGGCGACGACAACGTTCGCTCGTTAAAAACATCCGGAGCAATGCATTCCGGTGCGCGGACGTTAATCGCGCGGTTTCGCTCCCGCGGGCCAATGCGCTGCGCGACACGCGTAATATTACTCGCATTATTGTTATTGCCGTTGTTTTGTCGTTGCCGTTACTGCGCGAAACGTCAAAACGCGCGCGAGAGCCTTTTCATTTTTTTTTTTTTTATGCTACCAAACGCTTTTTCCCCTCCCGTCAAACACACAACACGCACTCGTAATATAGGTACACGCGCACACGTTCGCTCCACGCACCGTCCGACACGAGTCCGCGATAAGCGTTCGCGGGACGGACGCGTCGTACATGCCTGTGGGCTCTACGCGGCCTTTGGGGTCGCGAGGCCTGAGCGCGTTTTTCGACAAGCGCCGTCGCGATGAAAACTGCCCGGTCCGGCCCGGAGCTCGCGCGCGGTTTCGCACGTTTTCGAAAACCCGCCGCCCTAACGGTAATTAATCGAACGGGTTCGCAAAACATAATACGGTTTAAAAAACGTCGTTGTCGCGGTCGCGACGCAGAGGATTTCGCGGTGTTTTTTTTCAACTCTCGTTTATTGTTCACAATCGTACATCATCGTATTATTCGGAAAAAAAAGAGACGGCGGGTTTGTCGTCGAAAAAAAAAAAAAACAACACGACTCGACTCGACTCGCAGTCCCGGACCCAATACATATTTTTACGCGCGTTCGAGAGTCCTGCAGCCGGTGCACTATTCAAAACGCGTGTAATAAAAATGATTTAACGTGCACTGCTGCGCAACAAGAGTAAACAGAGTCGTGTGCGCGTGTATATATCTTGTTGATTTACGGCCGGCCGGTTATTATAATATTATCTCGAAAACCTACGGCGGCGGAGGAAAAGTCCGCGAGCTGCACGGGCGGACGGAGTTCAAACGGTCTTGCCTTTTTTTCATTATTATTATTATTATTATTATTTTTTTTTTTTTTTTTGAAACACTACGCGATGCGTCACCGTGGTCGACGGGGATATTATTAATAATACTATTGTGTGCGTGTAAACCACTCCGAGCGACGATAGAGCATCATGATTGTTGGTTTAAACTGCAACCGCGATGGCTGAATAAAAGGAAAATACGGGGAGGCCGAAAAACTGCAGAGGAGACTTAATTAATAACAAAAAAAAAAAAAACAACATTTCGATTTTGAGTATTCGTCGTCGGCGAGGAGTGTTGTTTCGGGTGTGTCGGGGCCGTGGATTTTGGTCCGACGACTATTGAAACTATATCCTAGTTATTAAGAATTAGACGGAAAATTACTCTTGAAAAAATTCCCTTTTCCGGCGCCGAAACCGACGAAATATTATTGTTGCAGTGTCGGCGAGTATAATTAAAAATCCGAAAAGCGGTAAGCGCAATTGTGTGAACAGTACGGATAAAATCGACGGAAAAACTAAGTTATTATCTAAATTTATAAATCGAACCAATTACCAATTGATCACGGACAATACGAGATGTAATAACCCTAAGCCTCAAGACGTAAGAGTGAAAATCAAAAATCGGCCTTACCCTCGCCGGAGCCTCGTCTGTTGGGACTTTCGCTCCTTCGGTCAATAATTATAATCGTGGTCCGCACGAGATCCGGTACCGTAATCCACCATCACCCCCCCACCTTTATTCGTATTATGGCGTTCAACTGTTTATCGATTTTCGAAATTTACCAAGTCCTGCGCGAAATCGGCCGCAGTCACCCGCGACGACGACACCGCGGTCGGTAATAAATATATAGGAACAAATCCGGTCTTTAACGCATACATAATAATAATATTAATATGACATACGTACTAACCAGTGATATATTGTTTCGCGGCGAACGAATACGAGTTAATGGCGTTTTCTTTTTTTTTTTACTTTTTTTTTTTTTGGCACCTGCGGGTTATCTACTGGCCACGATCGCCCGCACGTTTTCGTGTCCACGGCGCGAGGTTTGTTGTGTTTGTCACACTCGGCCATTAAATTATAATATTATTATAGTATTACGTGTACACGGTGCATTTTTGATTTACCGTCCGAAACGAGACCGGTGGCGGCACGTTATTATAATAATATTCCGAAAGCGTCGTCGCCGCCGCCGCGGAGAGATGTGGAGATGCGTATCGGCGACGACACGTCAACCTCGTCGTTTCGTAGGTACGAGAAATATAAAAAAAAAAAACAAAAAAATTCTGGGTTTTTCTAAACGCGTGATTTACACGATAGTCCGGGACGAAATGCACAACCGCGACATCGCCGCAGCCGTCCGGCCGTTAAAAAATTCTTCACATATAAGTCGTATAGGAAATAAATCGCCACGTCGAATCTTGTGATTGTATGCGGCCGTGAAACGTGGACAATAGTTACAGATAGCAGAAAATCAGTGACCTTTGTGCTCAAGTTTCAACCGGCTGGAATAATAGTAACAAACCGCGGAACGTTGAACATTGTGTAAAGGACAAACTTTGGCACGGCATTCAAAGTCAAAACGGACAAAACTATAGAGCGCGTCTGCTCGCGTTCGGCGAGCGGACGGTAAGCTCGCGAAAAAATCACGGAAAGAGGTACAGTCGCAGGAAAACAACCCAGCTGGCACGGGCGCCGTCAACGATCCTACGGTATAAACTGCGGCGGCAGACCAATGGAGGACCTGCGAAGATGACGGGCTCCGATGTAGCGTACGACCGTCGGATACGGATGCGGCGGAGACACAGACACCGAAGAAAAGAAACGGAATTACGAATGGGAGACACGACGGAGGTCTGCGCTGGTCTGTAATCAATCGCGGACGGTTGAAAGCGAGTAGAAGACAATGCATTTCGTGTTTCGGTTTGGATTTGCCGGCGCGCGGGCCCGACTCGGGAGGCGATTCGTCGAAAATTCAACCCACAAAGACGGGAATAAAAGGAGACGCGTTTTTATTTAAATTTTTTTTTTTTTGAAAATTTCCTAACGGCGACGGCGTTTCCGGCAGGGCCCGCGGAAACGTCGGGCCGCGGGAAAATTGCGTTTACGCGCAGTCATTTCCCGTTTCGCGGGACGGCTGTCCGCGTTGTGCGCCGCGCGTTTCGGTATCGGCGGACGGCGGGAGGGGGCGTGTGCGTGCGTGCGTGTGTGTGTGTGTGGGGGGGGGAAACGGATTTCGCCGGACTGCCGTATGCGTGCGCACAGAACCGCGTGTAATAAAACGCGACGGAGTCCGTAAATCCGCGCGCGTACACGACACGTTCGACTGGGAAACGGGGAAAAAAAAAAAAAACAACAAATATTCAATATCGGCTCGTGTGTGTATATACGCATATGTATATATATATATATATATATATATAGGTGCGGGATACAAGTCGGGATGGCTCCCACGTGTGCACGCGGGATAATAATAATATAAAAACAATCGTGTCTACACGCGTACACACGTACGCGAAATAAATAAATACGCCGTCGTCGGCGTTGTTTACGACGGGAACGCGTCCGGCGAAGAAACCTATTTATTTTATTATTATTATTATTATCATTTTTTTATTTTCTTTCCGCATTATTATCACTGTAGCGATTTTATTATTATCATTATTATTACTATTATTTATTTTCTGTGATTTTTCCTCGGTTTTCACCGTCGTCGCCGCCGCCGCCGCCGCCGGTGCACACGCGCGTGCACGCGAACGTGTACGACAATAAACCGCGTTGCACGTCTGGCGAATAGATTGTACGGTCCTGGTCGCCGTCTATCATAATATACGAGGTACCTGCACACGGTATGTGTGGCGGCGCGGCGGCGGGATGTAAGTTTGCGCGCGCGACTATTGTTGCGAGATAAAGACGTTTTTTTTTTTTTTTTTTTTTTTTTTTTTTTTTTTTATTTTTTTTTTTTTATTTTTTATTTTTTTTTTCATTCATTCTTTCTTTCTTTCTTTCTTTCTTTCTCGTCCCCCGTCACCGTACGCGCGTATGCAATATACGGTATCGCGTACACTATACGTATAGGGATGTACGTTATATAGTTCGGTGGCATAATACGCCCGGGACTTCTATTATCGGCTCCCGTACACCCTCTACCCCCCCCTCACCAACCCCACAGCCCCGTATCGTATCCGCCGACACGGGCCGTTTTCTAGAAGGTCCCGTTTTTTTTTCCGGGCGGCGGCGAGTAATTGGAATTCGGAAAAAAAGGATACGGCCATTTGATGATAATTCGAGATTCGAAAAAAAAAAATAAAAAACATTGTGTATATATATATTATACGTATAGAAAAAAACACGCCACCGACAACGCTAAGTATTATAGCCGACGAAAAACGTTCGGACCGTATAAAACCGATTTTCGTTTACGCCCGCCATCGTTTTTCAACATTAGTAAGTAATGGAGTTTCCGACGTGCGTGTATTTCGCCCCTTCGATTCCGAGCACAAATTTCTACACCGTTTCTTATAACCGGCTTGAAACTTTTTACCCGAGACCGGATGTAAGTGGCGATCCGCCGGGGTAAAAAATACGCGCGGTCATCGTTGTTTAAAAGAATTACATTCAAGTGGGTCTATTTCTTCGACGGGAAACAACAAGGGAAAAAAATACTTAAAACTAAAATAAACATCGTACGCATACACACACACAAAAACAAACACACACGCACACACACATGTATATATATATATAAATTTTAATATTCGAGGAGGGCAGAAACGAATGCGGTCTGTGAAAAACGATCGCCTCTCGGTTTTTTTTTTTTTTAAGATATAAAGTCAGATGGGAGCTCAATACGAAAATTAATAAATATCGGTACACGCCGTGCATGTATTCGTTTTCTACCTAATTGATTTACCGAAAACTCATGCAAATATTTGGACGTATTGGGAACACTGCAGGGCAATATTGGCCGACCGGTGCTGGGTAGATTTGTAGTGCTAGTCAATATGAAGTATGCTAACCGCATATAAAGCTAAGTATTGTCGAACAGTAAAAAATCCTAATTATTTCTTTCTGTCATGCGCGTGTCTAGTGCAATATCGTTTTCACTCGTGTAAAACCGTAACTTGTCAAACTCCGCGCGTCGAATCTCATTCAAAAGCGTTACCTTTTTTACCACGAAAATGCCATAACGATTTCTACAATAGCCACCGGATCTGCTGCTACTACTACTGATTAGTTACCGGCGGACATAATACATACAGTCTGTATATTTCTCCTTTTGTAACTGGCGACCCGCAGCCATAGTCGCCAGATATTCGACTCGGATTATTACCGAACCTGCAGTTTTACTAAATCTGTTCTCGACGAATCGCGAGTAGGCGGTTACTAGTTATAAGCTTGTAGCTCTAGATAACGAAATTAGACGTGGCCGGACCGGGCACACGGCGAAACGTACGCGTAAGCCTCAGAACGAGACCCGCCACCGGCCAGTAAAGACGGATTAAATGTACGCGCGTGTCTCTGTTTTCCGCGTCCGCGTACGACGGATTACGGGTCGGTTCTCGATTATTTCGGGTTCGTTTCGCCAAAGCGCGCGCACGGGTGTAACGTATTAAAATATCGTACATTACAATGTTAACGAACTCGAATATTTAAAAAAAAAAAAACAATAACACGATATGTAACATTGTATTAAATGCGTGTGCGTGTACAATTGAAACGATCGCGCGCAGTGATAAGACTCGGTGCGATAGGAGTGTAATACGCGATGGGTATAATCGCGCGTCGGTTAATGATGTCACGAATCTCGCGTATACCCCGGCGCTGCGCGGTCACGGACGGGGTTTTTTTTTTTTTTTTTTTTAAAATTCAGCATTATATTTTAACGTCTCGCATAATTTAAGAATAAATTATAATTTTAATATTCGGGGGCACGATAGCCGCCGCCGGTGTTCCCCGGGATATTATAATATTATTGTATACGGATCGGGCGAACAATATTATACCTTTATTTATGCAACTGCAGTGTACACTAGGAGGTTACCGCGCGTTTTTAACATTTTTATTGTACACATAAATACAGCGTGTCTCTTTTTACACGCGCGTGTATTAAAATAGCCAGTGTGTACGGGCGAGCGCAAACAGGTTTTTATTATTATATCGGTATACGAAATATTTAAAAAAAAAAAAAAAAACGCTAATTCGATAATTAAACCGTACGCGATAATAGCGATATTATATTGTAATTCGACCGGCACACGATTCGCAGACGAAATATTATATATTAACGACGGACGTTTTTCGGTTTTTCTGTTTTTGTTTTTTTTTTTTTATACACGCGGTAGTAATACGACTGTAAAATATATCGTAATAAAAATATAGTTTATGCGTCGGGGACATAAAAAAAATAATAAAACCCTTTGCGACGCCGCGAAATGAACAACAAAAATTGATAAAACCGAAGTATACGATTTCGAACGATTATTCGAGAGTTTTGGGGCCACCCGATGTTACGGATCCTCCGGGTCTTTTTTTTTATATAGCAGGTCTCGGCAAAAAATTCGAAATGACACGTAAGTATATACACGTGTGAAACAGTCGATCTTATTCGAAATTTCGCGATTTCGCCGCACGATTTAATCGTGTACGTTTCAATACGGTACGGAATAACCTCGGCGAATCGTCTTTTTTTTGTACATAGAACACGGAAAAAGTTACCTGACTCGTAATTTTTTTTTTGTGTTTGTGTGTGTTTTCATCGCGGTTAAAATATTAATTAACCGGGTAGTCGATTATAATGAACGTGTCAAAACCAAACGCGTTTAATTGGTTTTTTTCCCCGGCCATTATAATAATAATAATAATAATAATAATAATAATTGTCACGCAAAAATATAAACTCGAGTGGCACAGATGATGATGGCTGTAAGTGACAAAACAATTATCTGTGTTTTTAATATTTTTTTTTTTTTTTGTTTTGCGCTCTTTTGTCCGACCGAGCGAGTTATTGCTTTTAGTTGGTTTTTTGTTCTTGTTGTTGTTTTTTTTTTTTTTTTTCTAATCACATTATCGCGATCCGTCTCCCCGAAAGACGCACCGCAAGAAAATCTATTATAATATTCTGCGCTGGAACATCGCGCGTATTTTCGGGAAACGCGTCAAGCACCTATACAATACCTCATTCTCACTCACTCTCTCTCTCTCTTTGTCTCTTTCCGCACTCGGGTTTCGCCGGTTGTTTCTGAAAGGTTTCGGGGAAAAAAAAAAAAAAGGTAAAAAAAAAACGAACGCTGACGCGGTGAATATTATAATAATAATATCGAAACGATTCGGCGGACGTCTGCGAAAGTTGACAGGGGGCCCGCGACTATACACAACGGCGTTATTATATTATAACGGATATTGCGATATTGTTTCAAATAATGCGCCGCGGGTTTCCGAACGACAAAAGCGTATTGTTCGGCTGACGCGCGCTCACATGTAATTACGATTAAAGTTCCGAAAAAGTACCGCGCCGCGTTAAATAATAATAACAACGGCGGCGGTTTCCGAACGGTTTTGACACGCGCGCGCGCGCGCGCGCCTATAAGAAAACGTCCGCGCGGCACATAAACACCCCACCCCGAGGGAATCGTTTCCGCGTCGCGACGAAAATTATAATTTAACAACGGCGTGTGTACGGAACGCGGGGTCGGCGCAAAGTCGACGGCTGTCAACTCGCGAACGCGGGCGAAAACACCCTGTACGTGTATACAATACGTGCGTATATAAATTCATATATTCTCATTAATGTATATTTACACGTTATACCGCGGGCGAACGGCGAACTTAAGATTCGCGCGATCGCGTATTATAAATTAATAATAAAACAAAAGCCGATTCCTCCGGAGGTTTCATATTTGCACGCCGCCGCATCGTGCGCACGCTCCGGCCGTAAATTCCGGAAAGCGCGTATTTATTCGCGAAAAACACTCGTAATACGGGGAGGGGGGGGCGTGATGGTGAACCCCATACGAAAGTAGGTAATCTCCTGCGCCGGCGTACCGATAACCCTCACAAAAGACGGCGTGAACTCCTACACTAGACAGTTGTAAACTTGCACAAAGTACGCCGAGGGATTTTAAAAGAAGTAAAAATCGGTCGCGGACTACAAAAAAATAAGAGGCGCGGAGTGCGGAATTGCTGCTGCATTTCCAACGTACGGAAATAAAGTAGACGTGTTGTCCAAAACGTTCGAGAATTTCCGATACGATGTTTCACGATGTTTACTAAATTCTATTACGAACATTTAACCATCAATTGTTCCGCTGGAGAACTATTTCTGGTTAAAAACGTCGTGCGCGTTTATACCCCGGGAGCGGTTACGGATGCGGCGCAGTGGTAGCTGCGGGATGGGGGGGGGTGGGTAGGGCGCGGCTATACTAATCGCGTGTTTGCGCGGCGCACGGCGATCTTAAAATCCACGGAACGGATTAACGGCGTCCCGAAATCGAAAACACCGGAACGTTTTTCGGTTCGGTATCGGACAACGAAATTTCGCATGTTACGCGGCGGGAAAATCGTGTACGGCCAACGTCCCGCGGGTACGGACACATAATAAGGACGCTATTGAAAGGCCGGCGGGACGTTTGACGGACGGGTCGTCCGGGCCGTACCGCCGGGGCTCGGTAATCCCGGTCCCGCCACGAGACTATTACGGACGCCCGCGGCGTTGTTGCGGCGGCGTGACGCGCGTACTTATCGGCGGGGAATGGGGCCGAACGCGAAAATCCCCCGTCGCGCCGCGCACGACGCGAGAATAACGTATTAACGGGAAACGTCCCGTCCTCGGAGAGAGGACGTTCGGTATCGTCGTCGGGAAAACGGTTCGGCCGAACGGCCGTAACAACAATAATAACAATAATAATAACAATAATAATAATAATAATAATAATAATAATAATAAACGTAATATTTTGCGGCCGGCACGCGCGCACGACTGCGTGTTGTTGCGTGTCCCGTCAAATTGACGAGGGTACGGCCGCCGCTGCCCGCGTCACGGAATTATTTGTTTCGCGGCGGTCGTAAAACTCTCGTCGCCACCGCGCGCTTTTGACGGCCGGACAATCGCCGAGCGCGTGGACGGGAAAAAGACCGGAGGAGAAACGGACGCCGGACCGTCGGCAGCCGGGGGCACGGCCGCGCCGCCCTTATTCGCCGTTACGGTGGATCCGTGACGGACGGCCCGGGCCGCGTTTCATATCGGACCGCCGCGGGTGCACACGCGGAATGTCAAAACTGACGTATTGCACGGGAGTTCGTTTCGCGAACGGGATCGCGGGCGGTCTGCGATGCGACTTTTTACCCCGCCCGTCTTCTTGAAACGCGGTTCGGACGCACACTACGGAGGAAAAACTCCGAAAATAAAACGCTCACAGTGTCGCGTTCGCCGATCGACAGACGCGTTTTCTGAACCGAATTCGCAGCGTCCCACATTCTGTTCGGTTCGAAAACGGATTTACCGAGTTTTTTTTTATTATTTTTTTAATAAAGCAAATTCAATATTATGACACCGAAATACCCGCACCGTCCGAAATCGCGTTTTCCCGAACGATTACGGAATCGCGGACGGTATCGTTTCGTTCGGGGCGTGCGTTTCTCTTCGGTCCGTCTTTTTAATGGCGACGCCACCGGCCGACCGCCGAAAAAGTTTCCCCGGAACGTTTTCGGGACATCGTCCGCGGTAAAAAGTTTTCGCAGTTTCGTCGGCTAGTACGACCGGCGTTACCGATCATTCACCGCGGCCATCGTATCGCGTTCGGTGTTTAACCGGTGTAAATCGATTATTTATTCGCGCGCATGCCGAAAACGTCGACCGAAAATCCGTCATCG